ACCGAACACACAATTTGGCGTACCGGCTCGGCGTGCATAAATCCGCCTGTGTACTCTCTATTTTCTGGCAGTAAAGCTTCTGTCCTCCTAAACCGTCTTGCTTGACTTATGATTTGGGGGAACCTTCTGTTTGTCGACATCACAACCTGCGACATGCTAGCCAGCATGATCTGCTCGTTCTTGCGTAGCGTTCAGGGGAGTTTAGGTTTTAGGCGTTAGTGCAAGTTTTGTCGACTTCAACAGGCAGATGCCCCTAAAAGTTACATTTGGGTCCCGAAAGTCACTCATAGTAATAAAAAAGGAGGAGCGGGGTTATTCAATTACAGTATTCCTCCGGTTACATCTGTTTCTGTTGTGAAAGTAGCTTTGCTCTTTGCTATTTCAGTTTTGTGTTTTATTGTTTATCCTATATACTCTGTAGCAGTGTTGGCTGTTCTAACTTCTACGACAGTCCATTAGTTTTGTAGTTTATGTGAGAAAGTTACCCAGGAGGTCTGATACTTTCCAAGGCATTTAAATAGACCTCACTACCAAAGTCTACGGACGTTGGCCTGAAAAATGGATACCGACCGATGACTCATAATTTTTTGCGGTATTTCGAACATCTGTAACTTTAGTTATTAGGCGACTGACCCTACGCCTCCTGACATTCTCCATCATTATGCGCAATCTGTAGGTAAATCCCCTTTCTGTTAATAATAGACTCCGACGACGCAGACACTTTTTTGCTCTAATTGTCAATGGGCAAACCCATCGTGATGCTGCAGGAGGCATCCGAACGTTCTGCACGTCCAGGGGTAGTAGTATAATAGACTCCAGTTAACTAGACCACGGATAGCTGTGTCGACAGCTTACTTGGGGCAAATGTGAAAGGCCAAACATGTCGCTTATATGCTTACAAATACACTTAGCTTATTAGGACCGATCGACTGCTTAAGAGGGTGATAACTGCCAGGATAGCCTGCATTTCGGAGCAAAAATTAGACAAGAGTGCAGCCAACTGGCCTGGTGTAGGCCACGTGGGCCTGCAAGTCACACATCATGTGGTGGTGACAGCTTATGGACGAGCGACACGAATGCGAGATAGATAGAGTAGGAAGCGAACAGTACGGCAGCGGCGCTTGATAGGTGAGGGATGGGGGGGAGGAAGACAGCAGACAAGAGTAACGGTCTCGAGGCCGATGAAGAACTGGGTTCGGGTTGATTAGTTTCTAGCGAAAATAGTTCGTCTGGCCGTGAAGTCTGCGTCTCTCCTTTAAACACAAGGACAATGTAGGAGAATAATTGGGCACGAGTCGGTAATATCCTCCCCCGATGGACCATGGTGTGTGCAAATAGGTTAGTGCTACATCGCCAAAACAGTTGGTGAATATGGAAGAGGTTGAGATAACTTGTCGGAATACCATTCTAAAAGAAACTGAAAGATAACCATTCATGGGTACCTTTGTTGAAATCGGATTTGTACGAGTGGGAACAGCAAAAATGGGCAATTGGCGGCCGTACAGCTGCGCGATACAGATTTCATGCAGGCTCCATTTATTTTTTATGCACATAAATCCCTCAAGGAACTTTTGGATAATTTTGAAAGGAGCATGCGAGAACGTCGAACTAACCTCGTAAATAGACGACAACGGTTGCTGACTGAAACCGTGCGTGTGCACGCACACAGTAACGTAACAGACAACTCCCCGAAAAAGTGTACTATTTTGCTACTGAATAAATATAAGTAGGTTTTTTATGCAGTATGATAACGCCGCAGGCGACTGCGCCCAGTGAACACGGGATGCGCGACGTATTGTCGTCGGATGTCGTCGAATGAACAGCGATTTAAGAATTGGCGTTATTTCTCCGAAGTGCTGCCACATGCTCAGCAGCTCGCGTCCGGAGCAGTCTTCCAGCCTCTCCGACGTAGTTCGTTTGCCTGCAACTGCATCAGGTCCGATAAACAACTCCAGAGGTTTCACCCGCGGCAGTTGGTTCTTTGGTCTCATTACTTGACACCTTATGGTTGCCTCCAGGCTGTATGCGACTCCAAGAAGGTGGTGTAAGAAGGCGGCTAGCGGCCTTCGAGAGGCTTTTGATGCATGGAATCGCTTGCCAAAATTTGGGGTAAGCTTGATTTTGTTACTTGTCTCGTTTGGGCCTGCACTGGCTGACGAAGTTGCGCGGGAAGTTATTTTCTCTGAAAATTCATCAAAGATATTGCAATTCGGCAACCTACGGTTCACTACAGTGTGTCTCAAAACACCGATATAGCGTCATTACGTGACTGCCTTTATGGCTGATTTGGTGGTTGTTGCTGAGGTTCAGAACTTGCAGCCTGCTTACCACTCTCATGTAAAATGCGGTCTTAAGGCCACAAAAATCTCTCCAACAGACGTGGACATCAGAGGAGACCAGCTAATTGATGTGATAACCACCCCCATGACAAAAGGGAAATGCCCATTTACGTGGACTGATACACGCCGCTGTCAGGTGAAAGCATTGGTGAAGACGCATTTGAGTGATAAATTGATTTTAGTTGAAAACTTTGGTAAGTGCCTCAAGGGTTGGGGCAACATGGGCTGATGACGCTAAGCAAGCCGGTAATTAAGATTTCAGTGTGACTGTTTTTAAAAGTCGGGCGTTCCGATTGATGAGTGTTAGTTCGCAATACTTTCGCCTGCGTTGTCCATTTTTTTAAGTGTTTGGGAAGAATTTAACATTTATGTCCAATAAGCAAACTCGGCAACAGTAGTTTAAGTAGTGCACCTCATATATCCCTAGTCCCATCATTTTTTCCTAAAGAAACGATGATTATAGGGATTTTATGGGTGGAAAATTAGGATAGGCAGTGGAATATACTTTATTAACGGCTATATGCATTTTTTATTGTATTTAGAAATATTATTGATTTATATCTGTAGATTTTCCTAATCTGTATTATCGTTTACGGTATTGCGGAAAAACCGATTTCCAAAAGGCAGGTTTCTTGAAACTTCTGAAAATTGAAATGGCAGTTAGGAGGTCGTCAACTTCAACTTATCTAAGATCCAGCATACCGTTTCGGAGTTAGATTAGTATGGTCCGCGGCGCGTAGCGCCGCGCACACCTCCAATTTACATGCGAAACAGCTTACTACCAGCAACCGCGGAAACCAAATTGAACTACATTTTTCTACTTTACACTTCCACAAATTTCCTTAACTGCCTATCCTATTTCTTCACCCCCCAAAATCCCCTATAGCCACCGTTTCCATAAGACAACATGCTGGGACTAGGGGTTTATGAGGTGCACTACTTAAATTACACTTGCCGCAAACCCAAATCAAGCCCCTCTGTAATATAGGACTGGTAGTAAGAAAGGGTTTATCGGGTGGGGCAAAAGCTGGTGATTAAACAAAGATACTGAAGACTAAACATGAAAAACAGAATTCAATTTACGAAATTTTCTATACACGCCAAAAAGGCCCCATGAAAAGAGCGCACAAAGTGAAAGTGATATGTAAGAAGACTGTAAACGGGCTGGAAAAAGGGGAGCCGATGGTATGTGCTAGGAGGTGTCAGGTAACAGATAGCTGGAAGTCGGAACCAATTGCCTGAACCCAAGCCCCAAAATCTTACCCTGACCATAAAACTCTATTTCATAATCCTGGGTTCCAACGCCAAACTGTTGTCTCTCATCGCCTTACCTAACCGTAACAGTAACCCCTAGATAATTTCTTATAATTAGATTAGCCCAAAAATCCAATCCTAACAGTAAATCACAGCCTAAACTTTACCGATCAAACAGATGCAAACGTGAGCAAAAAATGCAAACCTACATAAAAGTAGAAGCTATCTCACAGTAATATAATTATTGGACATACATACTAGAGCCTCAACAAGTATTTTTTGCTGACAAAGTCAAGAACACTGGAAGGACCATTTCTGGCTCATTAATTTGTAAGCGGCGAGTAAGGCCGGAAGCCCTCTTACGATACCCCAATAGAACACGGAAATAGGAAGGCCCCTAACCGGTACGCCAGACGGCCACTGCTAAGAGTACTTATCCGCACATCCTAACCGTAACATTAACTCCTAAAAGTATCTTTAATCCGAAAAACAGCCTTGTTGGAATTTAGCGCAATGTCCCTGCGCTCTGGGGCGTTTCTATTCCCATGTGCTACCGAGGGTTGGGCTATATAACCAACCCCCTACCGCGCACAAAACTCCGAAACTAATGTGCAGGTTCGAATTTGGACTTCGAGACATTTTATCATAGGACAACGGCCCCACCGCTTCGCTCACGATATGTTACCTAAGGTCAGGAATAGTGAGTCACGTGACGTGGAAATTCGCCCACTAGCCTCTGCGTAGGACGCCAGTGGGCATTATTATTCCGCCACTGCTGCTGACGTCATTTTAATTCGTCGGGCGGGGGAAAAGACGTTGTTCGATCACATTGGTTCTCACTTTGAGCGCCCAATTCTGGTGCTGGTAAGGAGAGCCAGAAATGGTCATTCTGGTGTCCCGGAGTTTTACAATATGAATAATAACATGGCCCAATTAGTGAGCACAAGTTTGCACTGATTATGAGGGAAACAACTATCCGAACGGGAGTAATCCATAACATAGTTGATACTTTTGTCGGCTGTTAGTGTCCGTACAAATTGGAAAACGTGGGACATCGGAATTTACCAAATTTGCGATGGGGCGTGCCATAACATCGCCCTGACTCACTCACTCATTCAGATAGAATCGAATTTCTAGGCGAGTTGCCATGGCTACACAAATTCATCCGAAGGACGCATCCACAGGACGATAGAAAAATGGGCGGAAAAATGGGTAAGCGTGGCATATGGCCTACCTGCATGGCTCTTCCCTTTGTTTCAATGGGAAGACAAGTAGAAGCAATGGCACAGAGTACACACATTGCGCTGTAGGTTCCTAGGGCAGCCAGCACCGAAACCTCCGGCATCAGAACCTGAGCAACGTAGGGCGTAGACATTGCCCCGAGACGAGATGCCGACGAAAAGAGGCCCAATGCCAGGGATCGGATGGTTGTTGGATAAACCTGGTAGCAAAAAAAAGTCAGGGCCTGAAAACATTTAAATTAATCAGGCCTCTTTTAAAGCCAGGAATACTATGTTTTAAAAAACTGATAGAGTTCACAAACAATTACACAAATCAATGACAAATATTGCTTTGGAAACGGTTGAGAACTAATGTGCCAGCCAACCCAGTTACAAGATACGTGGTACGTCCGTGGATTGCTGGGGCGAGGGCCGGTCGCATAATAGGGGAGCTGTTGCGTCTCTCGAATAAATGATTGCAGATCCTGCAACCAAAATATTTTTCAAGCCGGCTTGGGCAACAATCTGGAAAACCGGTTTCCTATGCAACAGTCACGGGTCAAAGCGATGGGGAAAAATGGGGGGAGGTTTCCCCAAACCTAACGAGGTTTCACTACTGCGGTGTCCACGCAGATACATATGAATGAAGACGTTTTATTCCCTCTCCCACCAAACAGGCTGCCCTTGAAGTGTACTGGACAGAATGCGGATGCATCAATATTAGCATACCCAAGGTCAACTAAAAACCTTCTATAATCAGTTACCTCTTTCAAAAGCACTTAAATTAGAGATTCAGCTGACGAATATCTGCGTAATTTATCTTTTTCCGCGGTTACGCTAAAGTAAAAATGAGGACCTTTGAGCGATATTTCGATTTTCCTGAAAATAACTGATCTTTCCGGGTGGAAATGAAGAAAAGAGCACTCTTCTCTTTATATGAGAGAGTTTCTCACTACATTCAATTACTTTTAGATCCTGTTCTAAAATTATAAATGAAGCAAAAAGCGGCGGAATGCATACTAAGATTTTGCAGAAAACTGTCAGTCTTCCGTCCGTTCCGTTTTTAAATTACGTATTAGTAAAAATCATAGTGTAAAAAAGTACCATGGCAAATGCTTCAAATTTAGCGAGATCGTTTTCGGTGTTATACTTTTTTTGTTTCCGGTCCCAAATCTTCGGTGCGGTAAAACAAAATACGGTCAGAGAAGTTTGGTGCTGCATTTTGTGACAGAAAACTCCAGAAATTGGCAAAAAGTAATTTATCATTTCCTATCGAGTGTGGTTTTTGGAGGTGGCTGAAAAAACGTGCTTGCAAAAAAAACGACACCTTGGAACGTCTGCAATAGTATGGGATTGTCCCAAATGATCGATATGAAAAACACCAATTAATTAATAACTTCTAGTCGAAATACATTTCAAATTTCGGTTAACATTAAATGAAAATGGTCACTGCCTATATTTGAGCAGTGCCAAATTAAAAGGTATTCTTAAAAAGGATGAATTACATCACAGAACGGAAAAGAGGTTATCCAATCAAATTCTGATAAAAACGCCAAAACTACTTTTGGAGAAGTCAGCCAGGCCTTTATTTGTCAATCGGAACCCGATTTTTGTGGATCGTCATTCAATCACCTCAAAAAAATCGCACAGCGTGGATTCTACTATTGTAAATTCTGTTGTCTCCAAAACGCTACCAGAAATATTAAATACTTGTAAGAAAACCGAATAGAAGCACCTGTGCAACCGAACCAAGGCGATCTGGCTGACAATAGGCATAGGAAAATCGAAAAAAAGGCTGTCAATTTTATGTTTTAATTGGCTTTTTTCACTTAATAAGTAAATATATCCAGCAAGTCTTTCGATTTTAAAAAAGTCTTCATGTGTATTTGCCCAAAGTTCCCGTTGAATCAAACAATAGCTTGGTTTTATTTGGCAATTTCAGTTTGTCCAAAGGAACACCTGACAGTCAATATCTGTCACAAGATTCCTTGGTTAAAGTTAGACAAAAGTAATTAAAACAAAGCCAGTCGAAAGAGAAATGATAATAATAATAATAATCCATACAGGAACTAAAATAAGGAAAAATACTTGGCTATGGGTGAGCTGCCTGTTCTGACACTCAGTCAGTTGCGTTGCACCTGGGAGCAGCGTGAGGCAGAGGACTATCGGTGTAGAGTGCGACCGACTTTGTTTCTAGCCCCGGAAGGCAAACAACCGAAAATCGAGCTGCCGAGTACCCAGGGGTACCAAAGAAACAAGACTTATTTATTGTAGGCACACGGGTTGATAGTGCTACCCTCTTCTACTAGGTACGTGTACTAGACACACTCTCTCTC